GGCGGCCCCCGGGGCTGCCGTGAGGGGAAGGGCGGCCCCCCGAGGTGTGGAGGCGGCCCCCGGGGCTGCCGTGAGGGGAGAGGCGGCCCCCGAGGCGTCGAGGCGGCCCCCGGAGGGTTAGAGAGACGGCTCCGGGCCCCCCGTGCGGATGGGCCCCTCTGCGGCTCCAGGGCCCTGCGGAGAACATTGGCAGCTCATCCCCGGCTTCCCATCCCACCCCAGAGCTCACCCCCCTTCTTCCCTCCTTCCTCCCCCCCCCGTGTTGGTGTGGGCCCTGCGGGTATTCTGTTGCATGGTGCCGGGCAGAGGAGCTATTTTGGAAGGGCAACGCAGTGCTTGTGTCACTTCTGAGAGATGCTCGTGGAGGAAACTCCGCTGGAGGTTTCTCTTCCTCTCTCTGTGAAGCCCCTGCCTTCACCTTTCCCATCGGGCTGCCCAGGTTTGCATAAATGGCTTCGCTTGCTGGCTGCTTATTGTGTCTGCCCTCTGCTCCTTGTCTGTGACAGATATCAACCTTAACTCTCCCAACAAAGGTCTGCTGTCGGATGCCATGACAGATGTGCCCGTGGATAGCGCGGCTTCGGCCAGGACCGCTGCACCCGAGGGGCTGACTCTTGCTGAAGAGGAGGAGTTGAGATCTGAGCTTGCCAAGGTAATGGTGTCTGTCAGCGGCCACAGTTGTGTTCCACTGGGGAGGAACAAACAGGAGCCACAGGAGGAGGACTTGTTTTTTTGGTGTGGCTTTTTTTTTTTCTTTTAATTTTGCAGTGATGTTACCTTTGGATCTCTCAGCTAATTGTTAAAATGCACAAAGCTGGCAGATACTTCAAACACTGTAGTTGGTATGCTGCCTGCTCGTTCCCAGAATGACTTAAATTAGAGCTCTAAGGAAATAAGTGGCTTTTGATGCTGTGAGCTTAATCTAAGCTTTTAGCTCCATTTGAAGCGAGAAAACACTTTAGCAAGTGATATGCAAGAGAAATTTGTTTTTCCTTAGGAAGCTGGAACAATGGAGTATTTAATGTGGTTTCTGTTTCTACCTCTTAAATACTTATTACACTTTTTAGGGAACTATTTTTGGTGCCTACATGCTTTTGAAGAGCTGAGAGTTTGTAATGTAATATACTGAATTTTGGGCACCTTTGGGAGTTTAAAGGTCAGTTTATAATTTCGATCTGAAACGTCGCTGAAAATAATTGTAGCTGTTCTTAGTCCTTTCATTTGAGAGTCTCATGGTGATTCTTTGACTCACAGGTTCTAGCAAGGGGGGATTTTGCTGCTCTGGGTGGTCAGGCAGAGCTTGGCGAGCTGCAGCTGAAGCAGAAATGAACCCTCTCTGCTGCAAATGACTTGAGAGTGCTTTGAAAAATCTTGAAAGAAAGATCTCTGAGGAAAAACTTTGCTTTAATGATGTCAGAGTAAAAGAATAATAAGATCGAAGCCTTAGTTAATAAGATTTGGCAACTGATTTTTATCTACTGTCGAAATTACAATGCTAGAAATGTTAATCTTGGTGCCATTAAGTCGCTAGTACAGTGACTTGTATGGATGTTTTCCCTATTGAAGTCTGAGCTGTAGGTCTCCTGTTCCAGCACCTTTCATCCTCAGTTGAATCGTTCTGTGTGTACCTCACATTGCTACCAATTCTTTAAATTCACGTTAAAGAAATCTTGCTAGTTTTGAGGGAGGTAGAAAGTTGGCCTAATTGTTGGAATTTTACTGAACTGTGATTTAAGGCAAACCTCTACCTCTCTCTAAGGTTGAAGAAGAAATTGGTACCCTCAGGCAAGTTCTGGCTGCTAAAGAGAGGCATTGTGGAGAGCTGAAGAGGAAGCTAGGTTTGACTCCCTTGGATGGGTTAAAGCAAAACCTGTCTAAAAGCTGGCATGATGTCCAAGTCTCCAATGCGTAAGTATCACTTGTGTTGCACGTTTCACATTTAAATATTACTTTAATTATTTCCCAACAGCGTATTCCAGGGCTCGTCCAAGTGGCTGGAGGCTTTTGCTCTGGGTATATAGAGTAAAAGACACTTAAAACCATTCATTTCGTTGTTCTCATGTGTCAATGTCTTTATGTCAGCACAAATGGAAGCTTTTTGTTTGTGATGTGGATAAATTGTTGCTGGATGCTCTTTCCCATGGTGTTTGGGTTGTGGATCACCACTTAACACTTCAGTTTGCCCGTTTCTGCCTGCACTTTGAGACGTAGGCAGCTGCTGCCTTATTCTGAACTTAGGCTCAAAGAGAAGCGCCAGCTCTGCTGCATAGTGCTAGTTCAGAAGCTATTTCTGGAGTCGTGTAGCTTGAATTAAAAAGTCTGCACTTCCTAGGGAAAAATTCTGTAATGTTAGTGCACACTACACATAGTCATTTCTGCCTAAAGAAGATCTGAAATTAGACTGACTCTTCCTGAGCAGGCGCTAAGGGCATGATCACTGCTGTGCTTGGCAGTGCCAGAAGGAGAGTGCAAGAGGTAAGTTTGACCCCGCGGTTGTGCCTGGATGGAAGGGACTCTCGGTGCCCACAGATTGCTCAGTCTAAAAAGCCTCATGTAACTTATGTGGAATGGAGTTACAGCACTCGTTGAGCTGTTTGTTTCACTGTTTAGTCTTTCCCTCTTCTGTGTCTTTCCCTCGCCTGATTTCCGTCGTTCCTTTGTCACTGAAATCTGTGTCGTTGTCTTCTAAGAAATGAATATTGAAGTTATATTCATTAACACTTTCTGTTTCTAGTTATGTGAGAACATCTGAGAAACTTGGAGAGTGGAATGACAAAGTGACACAGTCTGACTTGTGAGTGCCTCGGGCTCCTCAGCAACACCTCCTTGCTCCTTGCTGCGTTCCCCGATTTGTGCTGCCCCTTGTTCTCAGAGGGGCTGGCTGGGAGCTGGAGCCATGGCGAAGCGGGACTCATTAGCAGCACGCCTGGCTCCCAGCTCTAACCATCCCTTAGTTGCAGAAGAGATGAGTAAAAAGTTACTGCTGTCATCTCTCCTGTAGTCTCGCTATTGCAGAATAAAAATTCCAATCAGTTACCAGACCACATCTTATTAAAAAAAAAAAAATTATGCAAAAAATCAACCACAATTTGCCTTTAACTGATAGGGAGGTCAGTTACCGCATGTCTTATTAGTGAACCTCTTATCTTTACTGTGAAACTATTTCTTTTCTCAGCAGCAGGTGTGTCAGGGATCAGTTTGATTGTTGCCTTTCTATATGGCCTCAGGGGAGATGCTGGAGGCGTTTACTTGGAGCTGAAAATAGGGGCAGTGCACAAGCGAGTACCGATATTGGCTTTGGAAAGTCGCCACGCAGGGGCTCTTCTGCATTGATGTGTGTGAACCTTTTAGATGATGTCAGTACTAGAAAGCCATGAATTTTACTCTTTGCAGTATATACGAGCAGGTGACAAATGTGGACTAAGAGCATCTGGTTGCTTTTGTCTCTAGAATACATTCTTTAATTATATTAGACCTCCATTCATATTGGACATGAATCACTTTCCTCCTGCATAGCTGAGCATAAGGGAGACCTTGAATGTTTTTTGCACTGAAAATTCTCTCCCTTCTATGGCTTGCATTGAAGGAGATGATTATTTAGCTAAGAGGAAAACGTGGGCTGGAAACTTCTCGTCAGTAGGCAAGATGGCACTGATCTAATTGGGGAGAATTACGCTTCTGGGTGATGTGAACTGCCTGCGAAATATCAGCTCTGAGCACTTCTGCCTCTTGTTTGCTTTCTGTGGTACTTGTATTTGTTCTGTACCTGCAGTGTTAATTCTCACAATCCCTAAAGTACTGTTATCTATGTAGCGAAACAATCTAATTCTAAAGATTAGAAAAGGAAACTAAGTTTAAGAGTTTGTCCAGGTCACCCTATAGTGGTAAATACAGCATTGGGTGTGGCAGATATATTTTTTTTTTTGCCTTCACTGCTCTGTGCTCTTAGTATATAGCTGCCACATAGCATTCAGGAAAGGAACAGAAGATGCAGAGTCTGTCAATTCTTAGACACCTTCTAAACAGCAAGCTTTGTTTCTTTGTGCTCAGTGTTTGAACATGCTTAAATAAGAAAAAAGAACCCAGGGCTTTATGTGTCTTCCACCTCTCAAACAGCAGCTCTTTTCCTTCTGGCTGTAACAGAGAAGGGGGGGAAGCTATTGTCAGAGAAATAAAACCGATGATACTGTAACTGTAAAGAGATGCTAATAATGTGGAAAGTGTCAAAAGAAGCCTCTGTAGTGAATCTGGGAGCTGTATCTAACCTCCATTGTGTTTGTAGATATCTTTCAGCCAGCAGCACACTGGAGGACTGGAATGAAAAAATAACTCAATCAGAAGCGTGAGTGTTTTAACCTTCAGCGTTAGCAAATGCTTCCATGACAGTCTGCTGTCACTAACGTTCTGCACCTCCTCTCACAGTTCTCTGCTTTAACTAGGCCTATTTAAACATTTCTCACTTCCAGCTTTCAGCTTTTTAACCCAATAAACACCTTTTTCTGGGAGAGGGAGCTTTTCCTCGCCTCAGTACTTGAATGATGTCACTTGGGCCAAGCAATACTCTTCAAATGCCTCTCTGCTCTCAGAGGGAACTGGCTGAAGCCACTGGGTAGCTGAGACCTGTGCACCATGGGTTAGATCTTCAGCTGATGATCTAAGGAGTAGTCAGACCGATCTCTTCTTACCCTCAACGTGCTCTGCAGGGAGAAGCTTTGCTTTTTGCTGTGGTACCTGATGAGAACAAATAGGGCTGTAGTGTCCACAGTGGCTGTTCTGTTGTGTTGGGGCCCCAAATGTGCTCAAACAGCTTAAACCTCACAGCTGTTATACTCCAGTTGTTGGCTGTGAAGGTCTTCTAGACATGATTTTATTAAATGCCTGGAATTAAATTCTCATCTGGCCTAAATTATGGGAATTGGCCTCTGTCCTTCTCACTGCATCTTTCCCACAGTCTACAGGGGTGTTCTTTACAGTCATGCAGTGGCACCAGGCAGGTCCTGGTCTGATTTAGACCATGGTGAGCCAGATCTTAGGTGAGCCAGCTCCTCCTGCTCTTGTGAGTGGGTATGAAATTCAGTCCTTTGAGCTGGCTTGTTACAGGCAGTGTGTGTGAACAGAAGGTTTTCTTTGTAAGACGAGTGAAAAATGAGTGGAGATAAAAAGCAGGAGTATCAGAAAAAACTTTCAAGTATGCAGGTCTCCTTTCAGTGTTCTGTGTATGTTTTCTAGATTAAGAAGCTGTAAATTGTCACTGTTCCACTTGCTAAGTAGAGTGACCTTGGTTTTTATGCTCGGTGACAGTGTGACTGTCTCCAGCGGTGTTTAATCGGAGTTCCTCCCTGGGTGTGCCTGCCAGAATAGAAAACTTCTCCTTGTATCTGTTTCCTTGTACCTAGTAAGTGCCAGAAATGTGGCGGAAGTGTGCTTTTGTAGAGCATTTAAGGCTGAATAGCTGTGGCACGCTAGTTTTCCTGCTTGCTTTGGCACCAGACAGAATGACAATTCATGCCAGCAAGGTAGATGCTGATTGAAATGGAGAAGTGAGGGGGATTGAAAGGTAAGATTCCAGCAACGTTTCAGAAAACAAACAAGAATTTCTACTTTTGTCTAAAGCTCAGTAAATGTGAAGAGACAAGTTTGAGAAATCCAGGGATGAGGTTTTATTCATATGTTTTGGGGGGGGGTTATTATGCAAATGCATCCTCTTTCCTGTTCTAGAGCTTCTCTGTGTCATAACTAACAAGCATCCTGACTGAACTGGGAATGGGCTGAACTCCTGACCTTATGGTGCTGTTGTGTACTGCTGAATTTCCTGGTAGTTCCCATTCCTGGCTACAGACTTGCCCTCTGCAAGCAGAGAAATCATTTCATTCTAACCAGGATGCAAGATGACTTGGATGGTTTATGTGCTTTGCCAGGCAGCACAAATGGCAATTGCTGGATAAAACCGAGTAAGCAGAAGCTGGTATTAATGGATAAAGGAGGATTTGAGGGTGCAGGTCTGGCTTCTCCCCATCAGAGAGGGGTGCCATGCAATATGTGAGTACCAGAGGATGAACACCACAGGGCAGAGGTCGTTTCTGCAGCTTCTGCTGGTGCCAGCTGCCTGTTAGTAGAGCAAAGTATTAATCAGAGCTCGTATTTATTAGTCCTAGATTTGGATTATTCTATTGTGCTTTGTACTGGTGCTAAGGGAAGAAAGTGAGCGATTGTGAATTTAAAGCCATGGTAAACCTGGCTGTGTCTCTTGCAAGGAGAGTGCTTGCACCTTCTAGGTCAGGGCTGGGTGCAGTTAAGTTGCATTAAAGTCTTGTATAACCTGATCCCTGGCTGTCACAGATGCAGCTCCACATGTGTGTCTGATGGCAGTTCTGGGTTAAAGAGCTTCTCTTCTTGGCTGTGCTCTCCTGGCTCTGCCTCCTGTGCTGCAGCAGTGGAAGTGTGTACGTGTGTGTGGGAGCTGTGGATGCAAGATTAGGTGGCTGGCAATCTGATCTGGCTGCTGTTGCTTTTTTTTTTGTTCTTCCAAGTTTATATTTCAGCCAGATCGTTTCCTTGATCTAGATCACTGTGTCAGCACAAGAGGTGGTGCTGGCATCGTGAAGGAGCACATCCAGGCAGAAGGAGCAGCCCTTTGAGTGCTAGATCTTCAGTTATCTTAAGAATACTGCTGGCAAGAGTGGGGAAAAACAGCTGGAAAAACTCTGGCCTTTATCTGCTGAAGCTAGACGTAGTACCTGGGAGCTTGCAGTGTGTGTGTAGGGAGTGATGGTGTCCTTTTGAGCCTTTAAACCTCTCCTCCCATCGCTGTGCTGGTGCTCAGTGCTGATCTCTGAGAGCTGAGTGCCAAGTGGATGCAGAGTCAGCACAACATACTTTGGTGAGTGTGAGCTCTTCGATGTTTTGAATTAGGCAGCTGTAAATCAAATCCCGTGATGGGACTTAGTCAGGTGGGGAGGAGCCTGACTGCGGAAGGGCATTGAGATCCTCCTCTTCCAAAGCAACTTTGGCCAAGGGCTCCTGGCAAAACACAGTTATTGCAATAGGAAGGCGTGTGTAAGAGCAAGCAGTGTTGATCCTGACCAGTTCACTCCTGACTTGTCCTTAAATGACTACTTCTTGCAAAAGATTGTGCTGTGGAGAAACAATGTTAGAGACCGCACTGTTGGGGCACGCTCAGGTTATTCTGGAGTCACTGAATTCAAGAGGAATTGGTGCATATGAAAAATGCATAGGTTATAGGAATTTTCTTTCAGGAGCAGGAAGAGGGAAGGTAAAACTGATGTGGTTTTGCCCCGTTCTGCGTAACTCTCATGTATGTTCTTGATTCAGAAATACTTGGCTGTGGTCTTCAGCAAGAAAACCACAACAAACCAACATGTTGTAATTGTTATTGCTTGGATCCAGGTGCTGTGGTGCTGTCTCCCGACAGCTTGCTTTCCAGCCTGAATCTCTTTATTATAATTTGAAGAATGCTATAAATCTAGATGTTAATTACCAACTGTGGAATAGCTTAGAGGATGAGTTAATGAAAGTGGCTCAAAGAATCTTTGTTCCTGAGATTAGTCTCATCTGAAGGAAACAAAGGTTCTCAAGTCTGTCTTCTCCAGCTCTGGTATAAACTGAAATGTAATCAGCTGACAAATACAAGCTGTCAGACTTCTCATGGTTTGTGGTTAATGGTAACTGATAGGAAACTCCTCTACCAATTTATTTCTAAACTGCAAGTTGTAGAGGTAATGCAGATTCCTCCATTACTTCTTCTATCCTGTGATGTTAGTCCTGCCTCTTTCCTCTGTAACCTAACGCTGCAGCAAATGCTATAACTTCTTCAAGGCTCTAAGCACATTATAGAATAAGTTCATACACTTTTTTTTTTTTAAGGAAACCAAAACATAGTTGTAGAGCAAATAGGATATGATGCTATGACGTTTCCACATGGGAAATTTGGGCTGATTGTTTTTTTTTTTTTCTCAAATGTTGGTCAGATTTAAGAGCATATGGTCAAAATGGTAAAGTGAGTGTATGGAAAGGTTAATCCTATGCTTGCTGCCACCTTAAAACTTCCAGTTTTTTAATATATGCAAGACTGGAAGGGGCTCTTTCAGTGGAGTCAGTGCAGCTCACTAACCTGGCTTCTCTCCTTTTAATATGGGTTCCTTTTTCAAAATGGGGGGGTGCTTCTCGCTTTCAGATGCGACCCACTAGTTCAATTTATGACTTTTTTTTTTCTATTTAGTTACAAGAAGACCCAAGAAACCCTTTCCCAGGCAGGACAGAAGACTTCAGCAGCCCTTTCCAATGTAGGTTCTGTTATCAGCAGGAAACTTGGTGACATGAGGTAAGATTTCTGTTTTGCATTCTGGTGCTTTGATCTTGTTTTCAAACAGTAATGAGACTTTAGACAATAACCAGGCTTTTTTTCTATTTTGCTGCTTAGTTGGCAGCAGATTGCTGTTGATGGACTATCTTCTTCTGTGTAGCCCTGTACATCATAGTTTAAAGACTTGTTGATGGGATAAAATCTGTTCTAAGGCATTTAGGTTTGACTTGGATTAGGAGAACTGACAGACCATTTTTAGCAGCCTCCCCCCTTTTACTATCGTATGGTTTCACTGCAGCTTTTATGTCATATGTAAGAAACTAGTACTAAAGTTTACCTTTTCCATTCACTGTTGGATTATGGAGATGTGTTTTCTCAGTGTTACTGTTTAGGATTAGAAATGGGTCATTGCTCCTGTGCTCTGCTATGTTTTAAAATGGGGCCAAGTCTGGATGTTGCATTTCATGCAGTTTCCAGCCCTGTGTGTTGGTGTTCCGTGGAGAAGGGCAGTTTGCCTTCCAGGCACAGTTATGTCCTGTCAATTGGAAGATACAAATTGATTTAGAAGATCATGACAACATAACCACCAACCACAAGAAGAAATCTTTTATCTTGATTGCTTAAGGAGATGACCACTGAAGTAACTGCAAATTTAAACCTCTCTGAATTGGAAAGTGGAGGGCTGGTTCCCTCTGCTGCTGGCTGAGGTTCTTGCTCTGTGAGTTTCTCAGCTGTATGAACTTCAAGGTTAGAATTGGTGATTTACCTCATCATCAGAAATTTAAGCTAACGATTGCTTCCCCATTAATGGCGATGTCCAAGTTTTTAATGCAGAATACCTTGACCATGCTTTTTTTTTTCTTGGAAATGGGAGATAATTCTGAATATACAACCTGTCTAGGTTATTAAGGAAGTATTCTTAGAGCTCATGTTTAATGTGATGTACCAGATCTTGGATTGAATGGGTAGCTGTCATTCTTTGTAGGGAATTTCCTATTCCACTGTGGCTGGGACTATCCAAGTGGTAAGAACTTGTTGGCCTCTGATCACATACTACTGACTTATTCTGTCAGTTCTGTCCTCAGAGTTATTTACTGTGTTCCTGGAGGGTAATTTTTGGTGAGTGTTTTCAGTAGCTCACTTCTCTGAATTTGGCAGAGGACTAGCTGGCTTCCTACCCTTTCCAGTATTCAAGTTCTGACTTTTCTTTCCTGGAAACCACCTAGTCTGCTGGAAGAAGAGATTTACATGTAATCACAGCTGATTACAGATACTGCCGCAGGGCGTGGTGATAACATTATACTGAACTGATAAGTGAAGAAAATTTGGGGGTGGAAATCTGCAGTCTGGCCAGGCTGTTGTGGCAAAGGGATGGGAACTGTGCTTTTTGGACCAAACAGGGAGCTCCTGAACCAGCGTTGCTACCAGAAGATGACATTTTGATGGGCTTGATCCTGCCTGTTGTCTTTTGGTTGGGAGAATGCAGTTCACCACGTGGCTGCAGAAATGTTTGTGCCATCCCAAGTGGGGGTGATGGAGGGAGGGCATGCGTGGCTGAGTGATGAGTGTGCCTGTCACTGCTGGTGACAGAGCTGTGCTGACACAGTCGTAGTGAAAACTGGCTGTGGAAGCTGGCCTGGCTGACTCCAAACAGGTCACACCTTTGCAGTTGATGATATTGCTCAGCATTAATCACCGATTTAAAGATTTGCGTTCTTTTTTTATAGCTAGTACCTTGGGTGATGTATTATGAAATAGAGGCAGCTTCTGTCTTATCACTTGGGAATCCCTGCCAAAGTTATTTCAGCAGGGTTTGCTTTGTGTATGTGGCCCTGTGGGGGAACACAGTAATGATTATTTTTTTTTAAGACTCTCAGTTTTTCTGTGTGTGTATAAACAGACTTCTGTCTCCCGTGCTGCGTTCAAGTCTTGGTATTTCTGATTCTGAATAAGGTTTAACTCTGAGCATAAGTTTCTGCAGGAGTTGTCCCACTTTGTACCCTTGCCAGGTGAAATTGTGACTGCTGTTGTGATACATCAGCAGAGCTGAGGAGGAGTGAAGTCTGTTGTGTTGTGATCACTTCTCTGAACGAGCAGGGATCATCTCTGTTCCCAGAGAATCCCCGTTACAGGCCTCGTAGCCTACACTGCAACCTCTGTTACTGTACTTTTTTTTTTCTCCTCTTACACTACAAATTCACTTGTAAAGCAGGTTTATTTTCCATCACTGGAAGTGTTGAGATAACAGAAGGGATTTCCTTGTTTAGTCAGCCTTCACTGGTTGATAAATGCAAGGAAGGCGTGATGAATGGGACAAACGCCTCCGATACGTGGAGGGCGTAGTCGTAATTCCATTAAAAATCCTTGGACCAAAATGCTATGAAATACAAGTAATATGTCCCCGGGTTAAATCTTCAGGGTTGCTGTTTTCTGGTCAAAATATCTTTAAATGTTATGGCTGTGGATTGTAAGGAGACATTGTGAAGTTAACTTGGTAATTGCGTGCTAATTGTATTAATGCTGTTGCTCTATTAGCTTGCCTTTAGGGGAGAAAATGTAGCTTAATTAGTGGGTGGGATTTTTCCAAATCTTGGCTAATTCAGCTTTTTCTGTTATCTCCACTTACAGTTAAAAAGTAAATTGGCTTTTAGATGTTCTGTTCCTGCACTTTACTGGCCCCAGTAATCTGCAGAATTGGAAGTGTTTTCATGTTGTTGATAACAGCTTGCTTTGTGGGTTTATGTCCCCAATACACTTCATGTTGACTGCTGGAGTTTGCTGCTGTACATAATACTACAAGCAAATTGATTATGAAATGTTAGCCTGAGCCCCAAAGGTGCCTGAAAACTTCTGAATTTACATAAACTTGAAATCCTTGTAAAAGGAGGAAAAGGGTTACTGCTGTGTCCAGACCAAGATACTGACCAAACGCTGCAGTGCTTGTGGTATTGCATACAGAGTAGCATGGTGCATGGACATGTGTTATCTGTGTTCTCCTTTAAGGAAGAGTAAGTAGAAAGTTACTTTATTTTGCATGCAAAGACAGCATTTCAAGGAGTCTGCCCTGCCAAAGAGCTGACTTGGATGCATGGGGAAATGAAACCACAAAGCCTTGCTCTGGCTGGAAAGAAAAGCCCTTGTGCTCCTTTCCAAGTACTTCAGATCCAACTTGCCATGACTGCTTCCTGCTGCAGAGACAAAAGTTAGATTTAAGTGGAATAAAACACCGCTTCTGGTAAGAAAAGCTCCTTTAGAGCATCCAAGTAATATTACTAGCAGAAGTGGGAAACCTTGGTCTGTTATTTCGGACTACTGAGATGCTACTGCATTGCAAAATCACGCGAGGGAATCTGGTAACCTGATGGGGGATATAGTTTGCCTTGAAACCTAAAAATGGGTAAGCAGGTTGCAGGGTAAACGCGATACCTTTTATCCAGATTCTCTTATCTTTATTATGCTGAGATGTGTTTGTTCTCTGAGCTGTAACTTCTGAGATCTGCGGGTTTGGCAAGATAATGTGCAGGTATCCATTGCGGGTTCCTGTTACAGAAATTCTCCACCAGAAGTCCTAGCAATGCTGTCTTTGTATGAGAGCTTGTGGGGGGACATGGGAGAAGGAGGTATCTTTACCAAATTAGCTAGTGCTTGGTAAAACCCTCAGTTTAGGAAAGCATGTGCTAATATTTAAAAAAAATCGTGTTAAAGCAATGGGTAGGGGTAGGTAAAATGTTTTGGGGGGTGGTGGTTGTTGCATACCCGCTCCTTTCCCTCACCAGCACCCTGGCTTTAAGTTGCTGTGGGTGCCATTTATTGTTCTCTGAAAAAAGTCTCAGTTTGACTTGAGTTAATGAAAAGTTTTTGCGTGCTTCTGCAATTTATTTTGAGAGGCTTCCTCCTGGGCAGTTGACTTTGCTGCCCCGTGATCCTGTGACTGTGTCCTTGCATTCAGTGTTGAGATTTGCACAAGTGTCTGATTGTTGCTTCCCTTTCTCTCTGCTGCCATGGCTCCTCCCAGGGCTCACCCCTTCTCGAATTCCTTTAGGTAAGATATTCTTCAAGGCTGCTAAAAGACAGATTTTTATTTTTTTTTTTCTTTCTATGCCTGGCCCTTGCAGAAGTTAAAGGGGAAGCTGATTATTCCAGCCTTGCCTACACTTTTGACACAGATTGAGAAGCCTACCACAAACCAATGCCCTGTAAATGACTTTTGTATCACAGTTGCAGTTTGCACTTAAATAGTTGTGTGTACTGTCCTGTGTCTGGAAAAACTTAAGTTCTGGGCTGTGGCTGTTAAATAAGGGAGGAGAGGGAGGGCTCTTACCGCTTCAAGTTGTCCACAGCAGCCTGTGTGTGGACAGTAAGTGCTTAAGAGCCAGGGGTGTGCTGCTCTTGAGTTAAAGGGGAAGCTGATCATTCCAGCCTTGCCTACACTTTTGACACAGATTGAGAAGCCTACCACAAACCAATGCCCTGTAAATGACTTTTGTATCACAGTTGCAGTTTGCACTTAAATAGTTGTGTGTACTGTCCTGTGTCTGGAAAAACTTAAGTTCTGGGCTGTGGCTGTTAAATAAGGGAGGAGAGGGAGGGCTCTTACCGCTTCAAGTTGTCCACAGCAGCCTGTGTGTGGACAGTAAGTGCTTAAGAGCCAGGGGTGTGCTGCTCTTGCACGGTGTCTGTCTAAAATTGTCATTTAACTCTTTCCTCCTTATTCTGAATGCTTCCGAGCAGCAGTTACTCCATCCGCCACTCGATAAGTATGCCAGCGATGAGGTAACGTAGCGAACACCCGTGTCTCCTGAGTGGGGCTGGGGGGAGAGTTCAGCCAACTCCATCCTTAATGTGTTTTTGGTTGTGACTTGTACAACTGGTCCCCTTCTTAAGCAGACCCCACTCGAGGTGTGGGGTAACCATGTCCTGCAGTTTGAGTAATTCAGGGTGGGTTTTGTACCCAATCTCATTTTATGGCTATCAGTCCAAGAACAATACAGGTGTTAAATGCAGTGTCACAGCTGTACCAAAGTCTAATTGAAAAAAGCAGCTTTTGGGGATTACAGGGCAGGGATTACAGTCCATCTCTCACAACGTACAGCACGGCCACTGCTAATTCTGAGATGAATCCTAACTTGAACCCTCTGTCTCCACCCTGGAAGCTCAGTGCCCTCTCAACATGCCCTGGTGCTGCATTAGGTGGTGATCTTGCAGGAGAAATGACTGCCAGGGCAGGATGGGGCCCACAGGAGCAGAGCCCTCCCCTGGAATTGTTTGCAAGCCGAGAAGCTTGTTCTGTTGTCACACAGTTGACCTGGGTTTCTTGCTAGAAATAAGAAATCCTCTGAGTAACTTATGCTGTGGTTTTTATGGGTATTTTGTGATGCAAATGATCACTCGTGTAGTAATCAAACTGCCCATAGGTATAGGCACATGGCCCTTTCCCTTCCTGCCTGTGGGATGTGAGATGGGAAACTGAAGCTTCTATTTTAAACCCTTCTCAGCTTTTCCTTTCCATTATTTAGGACAGTGTGCTTTTAGTTGGAAGCCTGGTAAAACTTAAGAGCTAGTTTCTTCTCTACTTATCGTGCGTTGATTCCCTAGTGAACTGGGACTTGTTCCCCTCAATGTTTCAGCTTGAGCAATTGAGTGGATTGCACATGGTATAAATGTTTTCCTTCAGTGTTTGTATGTGGTGTCCTTGTCTGATGTGCCCGAGAGATTTGTGCCAAAGGCTGGGAGGAGCTGGAAGTGTTCTGGGTGCTGCTCTCACTGCATGGGAAAGGCCAGAGAGCCCAGTCACGCTGTGCAATTTGATTTAATTAAGGACTAACTTATCTTTATTTGTTCTGTTTTCTTTTCCTCCCCTTTCTTCAAGGAATTCTGCAACCTTCAAGTCATTTGAAGATCGAGTCGGGACCATAAAGGTAACAGTCTGCTTTGTCTTGTAGATGTGTGGTGTGAAGCCTTATGCAGAAACTTGAATTTCTGCAATGTACTGGGGCAAATGGCCTCTCAGATATCTGAAGTCTTTGCTACAGTAGGTGACCTTGACAAGGGGGAGTTGACTCTGTGTTCTCAGTGCTGCTTTCTTGTTATCCTGACTCTCTTCTCTCCTTTCAGTCCAGAGTGGTGGGCAGCAGGGAAAACAGCACCGATGGCCTCCACTCCCCCTCGGGAGCTGGGGACAAACCTCCACAAGACAACGCTCCTTTCTAGACCTGCCACATGGCTTTGCACGGCTGTGCACGACTGTAAGAGCCAGCCCCCTCCCTCCCAAATCTTCACAACAGCAACAACATGCGAATCTGAGAAGGGGCTGAGAGCCCGTCGGGAGAGATCCATCATTCATTCATAGACACTGCTGCTGGATCTGAGTCAAATAAAGAGAATGCAAAGTTTTGTACACAAATAATATTTTACACTAAAGTTTGTAGATTAAATGTATCACTGCTGTCCTCTTGGGAGGGCATGTAAGATGGAGTTTCCTTAAAAGTAGCTCAGAAATGCCAGTGATATGGATAAAAACAGTGGGTTTTTTCCCTTGTCTGACATAACTTGGAACAGATACATCTCCCTGAGCAGCGTGAGGAGGGCAGTTATTGGAGAAGCCAAGTGCATGGGCATCTTAGCTTCAGCTTCTGGCTACGGTCTGTGCTCGGGGCATGTTGTGCAGCTTCTCCCTGAGCTCCCAGGCTTCTCCTGTTACTGGTTTCTCTGGCTCCTATCGGAGTAGGCTGGTAAATGGGGTAAACAGTTGGGTTGTGTTTTTTTTTCTGGGCTCCCGAAAGGGAAACTTCACTTAGCAGCTGCCTCGTTGTTACACTAATGCTCTAGCTTTAACAAAACTAAAAAATCTTTATTTTTAAATGCAATGAACTTTAAAGAAATAAAGCTTGAAAACAAAACAAAAAAAAATAGCTTTGGCATCATATTAGGGAAATGCTCCCTTGGACTCTGGAACTGAATTGCAAGCCTTATATCACCTTACGCTTTACTTGTTTATCAGTTTATTTTTTTTTTCCTATAGAGAAGACTGCAAGGGTTATAAAGCTGGATGTTGAGCACTGGAGTTTTGCATCATGCCGTAGCAGCAGCATGCTTATAAGCCAGTTCTTGTGTTAAATTCAGTGGTGCACTCCGTTTCCTGAGTGTATGAAACTTGCTTCTCCCTTCTCAGCTTATGCCTTCGTTCTTGGAGGAAGAATTTCTGGAGGTTACTCGTGCCAGGGCCAGATCAAAAAGGCCAGGGCTGTCTCTGGAAAGACAGACACCACGTTGGAGGGACTCTGCTCTCTCTGGGCTCCTCCAGCTGGTACATCTGACTGACTGGATGGGTTTTTTTGATTGGAAGCCCCAGCTCTAATCTTGGTTTACAAAACCAGCAGAGAGTCACGGAGCTTAACCAGTTCCCCTAGGGGCTGGATGTTTTGCTCTTTTGATGTCCAACTTTGTTACTCAGGAGCCCAAAAAGTCTGAGTTTTCTACTTAGAGGCCTGATCTTATTCTAGGCGAGGTGCCTCCACGTAGAAATACCTGGAGTGAGCAATTCTGTGCCTTAGAGGCCAAGTGGGACTTACTCAGGTCTTTAGACTTATGTACATATCTGGGTTTTAGTGGTTTATCACCCTGGAGGGACTGAACCGTCTCTGACCCTTCTTTAGAGAAGCAAGTTTTGACACTTATCTGCTGATTAATCTCCCTTTCCCCCACCCAGCCCTGCTCCCCTCCCTCTGCAGACCTGGGGACACAGGATGACAGATTAGAAGGCAGATGTACTGGCAGTAGGTGGAGTGTAGAGTGTCACTTACTGGTGCTCCTTGTTTGACTGGAACTGGCCTCCCTGCGAGGAGCGGAGCCAGTGAAACGGGGACTGCTGGAGCTTGGGTATTGAACTGTTTCTCTAGACAGATAAATAGTGAGGAAACTTGTCAATAAAGCATTCCTTTGGGAGAAAATGGGGTGAATGTGCTTGTCTTGTTCTATCTAACCGTGCCGGAGTCCGCTCGTAGGTGCGTGTCATGAGCTTGCCAGGCAAATACCAACTGCCTGCGGTGGCTTGAGGCAAGAAGCAACTGAAATAGTACTTTTCTCTCCCTCTGGCTTGTTTGTCTGTCTCTATGGATGCTTTGTCATGAAGGGAAGTATTAAGTAATATTTACAGTTTGTTTCCTTTTTGAGATGCCGAATGGTGTTCCAGGGATGTACCTTGTGCTCAACAAAGGCTGGGGAGCCGCAAGCCCACGCTTTTCTCCTGGGTGCCATCACCTTGGTCCCTTCTCTGGCGCTGCAGGTGAACCAGACCTGCCTCCAGCTCCCTCATCCTTGAAAGTGTGGGAGAGCGGGGTCGCAGCAGTAACCTTGGCAAGGAGGGACTGAGGCTGGAGAAACTTCTAACGTGGAAAAGCCGCAGCTGTGGCGCTGGCTCGGATTTATGGTGTGATACCTCAGGGAATCGGCTTCTTGGAAGCTCTGGTGGTCACTCCTGCTTGAAACAGCGCAGAGGGAGCAGCAAATGGATGACTGGAGTTGGGAGCTGCTCTCTTAAATTCAGAAAGGTGGTGGAGAGCAGGCAAATAGGTTGTGGGAGAGGCCAGCAGAGCTCTGTAGCTGCTCAGTGAGCTGTGCTTGCAGAGGAAGGATGCTGGGCTAGGTTTGAAGCATTTGCCTGGTGGTGAGGGTTTGGTTTTGTTCCTGTGGGTTTTGGCGGTTGATTTGTTTTGAGGGTTTTTCTTTTGCTACTTCTGGAGTTAAAACTACACCTCTGCAGCTGGGTCTGAGAGCAAAGGGGTTGGTGTGATACCCCCTGGTCCCAGAACAGAGAGAGATGCTGCAGGGAGCGCCCAGGCTGCCGAGCTGGGGCCCTGAGCTCTGCGACAGCCCCAGGCCCGGGGGGATGCTTTGATGTTTTTCCACCTCCCCAGTCCCTTCCAGTGAGAGATCTTGGGGGTTTTGCAGGAAAGTTAATTAAGCCTGCCTTTCCTGGTTACAAGCTTGGCAGTGTTTTTGTCACTTCCCGGTTTCTAAGTGTGGTCCTGGCAGCTCTCGTGGGTGCAAACCCCTGGTTTCCTTTGGGTCTGGGCTCTGGACTGCAGCATCTCAGCTTCCTTCCCTGCAAAAATTGAGGACCAGGAGCATATGAAGCCCTGGCAGCCTCCTGAGCACCCTCCTGCTCTGGTGTAACCGGAGGAGAAGGCTTTCACAGGGATATTCCTCTCCTTTCATCGCTGGCGGGCCGGGGCTGCTCAGGGGTTTGGGGCAGCCCGGTGTCCCTGGGTGTCCCTCCTGCTGCCTTGGAGCCTGCAGGGGGTTTGTCCTGGAGCTTTTTCAGAGTCACTTCTCTCTCCTCCTCCTTTTTCCTGTTGCTTCCTTTAAATGAAGCATCCCGATATTAAATCCACGCTAACGAGGCCAGTGCCAGAGACCCATCAGCATTGGGATCTTCGCAGGCAGCGACGGAGCCAGCCACCAAACCAGTGTCTCCTCTTTCCTGCTCCTCTGGTTTTACTGCAGGATTTTCCTTTTCTTTCCTCATCCCTGGGGACTTGCTGGGCCTCTCCTGGCTGCTCCCGTGTTTTGGGGGGGGTGTTTGTGCAGAGCAGATGTTATCAATGGGGGTGCAGTAGCTGATGAGAGGCTTTTCTCACGGCGGTGCTGCCTCTCCGGGGCGATGCTCGTCTCTCCTCACACCTCCTGCTGCTGCGGTTCGTCTCTGCCGGCTCCGTGGTGTGAAGTACGGGGCAAGGTGACACGGGTGGCCCCTTTCCGCTGCTCTGCTGGATGGGCTGGGGGGGTAATTTGGGTCTGTAACCGGGTGAGCACCCAGCAAACAGGAGGGAGCTGAGGTTCAGGCGCTGCTGAGGAAGCCCAAAGCCACATTTTAGGGTGTGGTGACACACGAGAGAGACTCAGCAGTCGTCGTCATCCCCACCACCACCACCAGCAAGCAGCCAGGGACAGGCTCACTCTCTGGTCTTGAAATCAAGACAATTCCCTGGAGATTTGGGATGTTTATCTCCCGCCCATGAGGAGGAGGATGGGAGCCCTCATCCCGGCAAAGCACCAGCCTCTAGCTCCTACATCACCAGGAGCTTCCAAAGCCTCAAAGTAGAAGGTGACATTGGTGGCCGAGCAGCACAGTGTCCCCTGCCCTTGCTCTTGTTCTCTGCTCCATAATTGCCTGGTTTGGAGAGTTTGGGAAACTCTGGTGCAGGGCACTGGAAAACCTGATCCTTCACAGGGAAATCAGTGTTACTTCAGAGCAGAGGGTGAGTGAGGAGAGGAGTGCAAGGTGCAGGGGGTCCTTTGTGGTGTCCCCCCCACACAAAGGGGGAACCGGCAGATAAACAGCAGAATCAAAAAGTATTTAATTGCAAAAAGCCAGGCGGAGCCACTTTTCCCTGCTGGCACCACGTCCTGACCCTCAGCCAAAACCACAGCAAGTGGGGTTTTTTGAGGAATTTGACATTTATGCTCGTGCGAGGGGTTGCTCAACATCTTCAGCCGGGAGTTTGTCCTTGTCCCCCCGGGAAATCAGCCCTGGGGCTGCATCCCTGGCTGAGCGGGCAGCATCCAGAGGCAAGTGCTGGCCCAGGGCTGGTAGCCTGGGGCCACTCAGCGCTGCCCAGTGGGCATGAGCCTGGCATTGTGTGGGTGCTGGGGTGGGTTCAGCATCCCTTCCTGGGTGCAGACTCCGGGCACAGTGCTGGTGTTTCGGAGGGGGAGAGGTGCTGGGTGGGCTGTGGGCTGGGGACGGGGCCTCGGCATCACGGAAGGGAGCCGGGGCTGGAGTGAGAGGATGACACAGGCGTGTGATTAATGGTGATGACTCCGTCAGCAAACGGGATCCACCATCCTTCATTTCTTTAAAGCAATGAGTCAGAGGCAGCAGACGGGAAGGGCCGTTAGAGCTGTGTGAGGAGGTGACAGGACAGCGGGGGGGACAGCAGCGGGATGAGCTGTGGTGCCCGGGCAGCGTTCCCACACCGGCACCGGGGTCACCCGCTCCGGGACACGCTGGATAGGGAAAAACCAGGCTTTTGGCCACCGGTGGGAAACAGCAGCGTTCCCCAGGGAGCAGCCAGGAGCACCAGGAAACTTGAGCAACTGGGAAAAGCACTCAGGCTCTTGAGCTTAAAAAAAAACCAACTGTTTTCCTCTAATTGTAAGCGCTCGTTTGTTCATTAATGGCTCAGTGCTGAGCCCGTGTGGGGAGGTGCAGGCAGCAGGCTGGGCGCAGCACCCCGAGAAAGAGCCCAGAAGCTGGAGGTGCTGCACAAACCCCATTTAGAACCGAGGGTCCACAAAAGTGGGGTGGGGGGGCTCAGTGCCCTGGATGCCACCTGGAAAAGCAGGAAAGTCCCAAGTCTTCAGCCCCAAGGTGATGTCTTGGTGCTGTCCCCCTGCCCTGCCAGAGCCCACTGCAGTCCCCTTGCCCTGCTAGAACCCCCTGCCCCACTGCAGCCTGATGCTGAGCCCCAGGCCCATTGCACCCCTCGGCCCTATGCCCCACATCAAGCCCCAAGCCCTGCCAGAGCCCCCTGCCCCACTGCAGCCCCCTTGCCCTGCCAGAGCCCCCTGCCCTACTAGAGCCCCCTGCCCCACTGCAGCCCCATGCTGGGCCCCAGCCCTGTGCTCTCAACCCCATGCTCAGCCCCTAGCCCCATAGGGGCTCAGCTCCTCAGCCCCACGCTCGGCTGCCGGCCCCACATTAAGCTCCATGCCCTGCCAGAGTCCCCTGCCCCACTGCAGCCCCATGCTCAGCCCCCAGCCCCATGTTTAGCCCCCAGGCCCTGTTCAGCCGCACTCTCTGGCCCATGCTTAGCGTCCGGCCCCGTTGCAGTTCCCCCGCCCCATGGTCTGCCCCCCTGCCCCTTGCTCAGGCCCATACTCATACTCCAGCTCCATTGGAGCATCCCTTCCTTCTCTTCCTTCTCTCCCGCCCAGCCTCGGCGATAGGA